AAAGACATTAAAGATTATATATATCTAAACGGTGAAAAATACCGTCCCCAAGATATATCACCAATTAACATTTTTAGCTTTGTTACACTCAAAAATGAGATCCTCGATTTTCTAGGATGGCCCTACTACATCTTAGAAAAATTGACTATTTTATACGCAATGTTTAACTTTATTGGATTTCTTTTCTCACTTTTAAAAGGAATCTACAACACATGTGCTATACACACACAAGTCAATCGACAAGCAAGTGTAGCACGCATACTCTTTGCAGGATTTTTTGGAATCTTTTCTACATCTATAAACAAAATTCTTTTAGACGCACAAATAAAGGAATATAACACAAAAATAGCAACACGACAAAATACATACGACGAAGAACATAACAATGTAGACATAACGCCAACGGCACCACAATTACCACCCCTACCAAATAACCATCCACTATCCCTAGCCCCACGAAATTTTCGAAATTTAGCCATCACACATAATCCAAATTTTCGACTCACCACATCACAAAGTCCCATCCAACATATAATGACACACCAGTCACAAGATCAAAATACTTATGAACAAATTATTGAACAACCCCATACCACCGCTTTTCAGTCTCAAAATAATCATTTTTTTAGCCCACGATGAGCCGCCAACTTGGATCACTACACCGATCAAATTCCCACCCAACCAATCTTACCTCTCCAATCCCAATAATACCACTTTTTGCTTTTCCGCCACCCGATTTTCCATCTAGTAATGTAACATCAGGCATGAATTCCGACACTAATTCACACATCTCAGTTTTATATTCCATCTCACAACTCAATAACCCGAATATTGAAACCCCCGATGAATTTGCCGACTCAGAACCATCCCCATCCAATAATTTTCATAACTCTTCTAATTTTTCTCAACCCCCTTTTCAACCCATATTATCCAATAACCCTGACCCAATCACTCCCACACCCTCTTATGCTTCCCAAGTTACCCCAACCTACTCCTCATACCATTCTGACCAATCATCTCATTCTCCAGACACCCCCCGAATCTCCCCAGAGCTAGATAATTTTATTACCCTTCAACAACAACCCTACCACCTTAATACCCCAACCATAAACCAAATCTCCTCCACAATAAATTCATCCAACCCCCCTACCCCTACACCCTCTTCAAATTATACTGAATCATTAGCACCATCATCCACATCAACTGAATCTTCACTCAACACTAATAGAGCTTACCGCACTTTTAAAAGAAAGTTCCCCAACCATCCTTTCCCAGCAAAACCAGGAACAGCCCGTGAATACATCAACCACCCCAAGCATACTAACACAAAAGAATTTTTAGCCATCACCTTACCCTCATTCCCACAATACACCTTAAACACCCCCCACGACACTAACGAAACACGCAACTTTGTAGATGAATACGTTTTAATGCCCACTCTCTCTTGGACCTCATATTATCATTTTACTAATCCTCTTTGCTTACCTTTATCTAACACTCACATCGATATAGAGCGAAATACGGACATGCTATATCGACTCACTACACCACTAACCGCTAGACAATTTACTTACGTTGGATATAAAAAATCACTAAAAACACACACTGCACCTAGAGCTAACGAATATACACTTGAATACTATAATCACAACATCATCAGAGCTAACCAAGATCAATTCTTAGACGACGATCGCTTCGCTAATCCACAAATTACCGAGAAATTTTTCATCAAGACACCATATATATTTACACTAAACATCTTCGACCGAAAGTTTGATCACATTATTTCAGAAGCACTAACAGACACACAAGCATACGAAAGTTTTAAAGAACGCTTCCAAATATTTTCACTAACCTTTCATTTCCTTGCACCACACGAAAGAGATTTACACTGCTCACACGATATTATGTTGCGCACTAAACAAACCCACACATATAGTTATTATCGCTTCATCCAAAATCACTTTGACCTACACACACCCTCTAGACAACCACACCATCGTTTTCAATTCATTAATTCCAAATACACTTCACCATTTTTCCTAAATTTCACATATTGTATTAAAGACACTAACCTCCATGGTATTCTTCGTAATTATGACCCCATAACCCAAATGTACATCTTCTGTCCCATCACCAAGACCTTCAACGCCGAAGAATCCCGACCCTTCCTTATCCCGCACGAGTTTGTACAACCTATAGAAATCCCAATTTTAGAATTCATCCACAACACTAAATTCAATCACAAATTATATAATCTAATCCAAAACACACCTTATGAGTTTGCAGTTGGCACTGAAGAACTAACCACTATCAAGGCACTCCAATTGCTTTGGCCACTGCTTCAGACTAAAAATATCATCCGCATCTTAGCTAAACTACTAACAACTTCAGAACTAATTCACGACATCTTCCCCCACGGTTTTTTCCCCGACGACTAACAGGTAAGTATGAATTAAATGAATATACTAACTAATTAAAATATTAAAAAACTCACCATACTTTATTCATGTTTTCTTTAGATTTTTAGCCTTCATCCGACGATCACCTACAAAAACCACAAAAGACAAATAAAAATCGCAAATTTCATCAAACAGATTTCAAAAAATTCTATTAATACCTTACACTTATAAATTTATAAATTTAATACCAATGCAGTAAATTCATTTTTAAAATTTTCCCCACAAGCAGTAAACCTAATTATAATGAAAATTTGTAACTTAAAATTCCCCCATAACTAGCAGTAAATTTCCAAATTCTATGCAGTAAATTAATAAAATGCAAATGCAGTACTAACCTTTTGATATTCTCATTCATTCGCACAGAAATTCTATCCACACTCGCACAGCTCGCCCACGAAGAATTGTTTAAAATAATGAATTTCAGTTTCAAGTTTTCACACTCAACAACTCTAACATATAATAACATGTTTCAAACCTTCCTTTAACCCGGTTGGAAAGGAATCATATACTAAACAAAACTAACCAACGCAGCTTACTAAATACCACAAATCATAGAATAACAGCATGACTAAGAAAAGGAAACCAACGGTACCCAAACCGGATTAACCCAGTTTAAAACTGGATAATTTATTCTTTTGAAGACTATTATAAAGTCTAAGAAAGAAATAATAAAACACAAAAAAGTCGAAAGACAAACCCATACCACGAACAATTTGATTTTTGGAAAAAGAACATAACCAACAAGACATAAGAAAAACCACAACAAACCCAACATAAAACGTTGTCACATAACAGGACCCCTCACAAAAACCGCATGAAATCATACTCCCACTCCTGGCCTAACCCACCAGGAAGGACGTCCTGAGCATGCTCTATAGCCGGCCTAACCCACCGCGCTACATCCACGCTTTGTGACCACACCTCTATTTTTAATAAGAGCTACTCAAGTGTGAGTAACTCTTCAAAATAACCGAACTAAAACAAAAAGCTTTTGTGAAAACAACTAACTAAAATCATAATTAAAAAATATTAAACTAATAAATGTTTTATAAAATGTAAATTACATTATGCAATACATAGATCAGAATACAACACCAAGGACGAACATCTAAAGACAAAACGACCCCACTACACTCGAGAGGGAATGACCAACCACAATCGATATGCCACTCACAATCACAACTCAAAGGATTTAGAGTACGACTTGACTTCGCAGAAAAGGACTTCATTGAACTAGACCAATGACCACCTCGATGTTCAAGTATACGTACAGATCCGAGTAACCAGGCATCCCCTCCACGCACAATCTCCACGCAGAACAGAAAAACCTGACATAGCAAACCATTCTGAAATCAGATTTGAGTTTGTTGCAAAGACTTAGTCGTTGTCATTAGAAGACACAACGTCTTATGTCTCTAACTCCAGCTTCCTGGAACTTCTTTAATAAAAAGGAAACAGAAGAAATAAGATGTTCGCCAAACACCAACGTCCATCATCCATCCTTCGAATTGCAGAAGAACTATTCTAAAAAACTCTGTAAAACCCGGATGGGTGGAACCTGATCTAAACTACATTTTATGATTGGATAATTTAGATATTTTACCAATGTAAAGTATTTAATATTAACCAATCATGATCCATCTAACTAACAACCCACTTATTTGTAAGTGCTGAAGTTACTTGTAATTTCAGCACCAGAGAGATTTGAATTTAACTTAGAAATTAGTTGGACTCTCCCGAGCACTTCAGCAGCCGCAATAAACCAGTATACCCTAGATCTATTGAGCCTAGCAGAGACTAGTTAAACAACCTGAGACTAGATAGTATAAGAGTAAGATTAGGATCGGTATTAGACTAAGAAGTTGCACGAATCTATCCGGCCGAAAATAAGATAGCGTGACGAGCAGACGGTGTACCCTATCCGAAATTACTCTATGAGTTAACCAACTCGGTACTAACTCACAAGTTTTGATTTAAAGTTTTGCTTTTTTTTTCAGGTTTTTTTTCAAAATAATTTTCCGAGCTTTTTTAAAACACAATAAAAATCCAGGCAAAAACTTGGAAAAAAAAACTGGCCTGAAAGGCATAGATGCGTGCAAAAATTGCATTTTGTCGGCGCGTGCTTCTCAAAATAAGAATATATCAGTATTGAAGTCAAATCGGCAAATCGGCTCTTCTTCCTCAAACCCCCCCCCCCCCCCACCTCACATAAGCATCATTTTTATGTTGTAACGAGGAACTGTACAAGGTTAATCATGAAGACTATAAATGTTTGGCATGGCCTAATTAATTCGCATGCCAATTTTCGTAACATTCGGATAACGTGAACAAAATTTCACTAGTAACATTTTGCAGGTAGGGGAAAAGAGCCATCAAACCAAAGGAGAGACCACTGGGTGGCGAGGGGTTCGAATCTTTGTGAGGGGTGGGGAGTGTGCTCCTTAAGTCAGTTCCTGATTATGTAACAAGTATTTAATTAATTTTTATCAAAATAAAGTTATTTTTGCTCTCAATTAACTCTGGATATAAGACTCTTACCTGTTGTGATGGTGTCTATTGTAGGCCAATGACCCTGTTCCAGCAGTTGAAAATTGAGGGTGTGTTCTCCGAATTGACCCTTGGCGTGAGGCTGATTGTTTTGGGTTCTCACTTGTGAGAGAATCAGTGAGATGGTTCGCTTTTCGGTTCCGAGAGTTTTGTATTCGGTTCAGAAACGAACTTTGCTTCCTTTAACATTGGGTTCCATCAATTATTCTTTAAATGAAGTAAAAACTGTATAACTCTGAGTTCAACTTTTCCTTCAACTTTTTATAATAAAACCTGGTTTCCCTTGTAAAAACGCTTAATGTTCCGACTATTGAAAATGGGGAGGAACATTGTATTTAGGTGTGTTGTAGTTTTTTCTCGTTTTGTTACTTTTTTGTTTTCCACGCAAAATCACGTAACACAATTAATCATCGGACTGGGATAGGTGATATATCAAATTGAGGCGCTTTCAGTCATGATTCGAACGACATCAAAAAACTTCAAAAAAGTTTTCCCAGTAGCAAGAAAAACCGGTTTGTAATTTTTGATTTTTAGTCTAATTTCGAGCGAAAGATTTTTCGTCTAATTTGTAACAAGCTTATAACTATTATTTTTCGACCTAAAATAAAAAAAAATTGTTTGCTTTTACACAATTGAATTTAGTTATTGAAAATTATTTTGGCGTTTTTCTGGTAAAAAAGTTTACGAACAAAGAAAAACTTCTACAAAAAAATATTAAAAACTGCTCGAAAATTTTTTTTCAATTTTCTTTGATTTTTTAAAATTTTATACAAATTTTCATATTGAAACTTGTTGTCAAATGCAACTAATTTGTCATCAAATCGAATCACTTGTTGTCAAATCAAATGTTATTATCCAAGTTCAAGAATTTTGTTTAGTACCTATCATCACAACAAAAACAAAAACGAGGCAATTTGAAAAAAAAAATTGTTCAGTAGTTTTTTAACGATATGGTGGGAAAATTTTGTGCTACTTGCACAGCAACCGGCTATGCTTGTTTGTATTTGAGTACTGTTGATAAAACAAACAAAACAGTTCGTATCAGGTCAAAGCCCTGAAAATTACAACTACCTTTGATTCGAAAAGTTTCATTTCTGTTAATTCAAAACGTTTTAAGTTTGTTTTGATAACCCTCTCTACACGCAGCGTCAAAAAACAAATGATATGTTTTGCGTTTTTCAATACATGAGGGCAAAT